AACTTTACTATACTACTGAATTGCTTCTCGTCGCGAAGAACAGGCCGGCGATGAACGCTTACCTGGCAGTTCTGAACTTCTGGTTTTCTTCTTTACGTTGCTATTCCTGTATCGATTTAGGATGTAGGCGAAACAGGTTGAACTGAGCATTACTATTGCTTGAAAAGCGAGACGTTAATGAAGAAACTAACGAATCAAGATACGGAGTGTAAAGCCGTGTTCTGTAGTAATCACATAATCCAATATATGTGGTTTTTTGCTCATTATGTCTGACGACAGCTAAATCTCGACAGCACCAACTCAATACTAAGTTTGTCTGCCAGCAGTCTCGCCTTCCTCAAGATGCCATCCCTGAACTGTTCCTCAGCATGGTCAAGTTGGTTTTTTGATTATTTCATTAATGTGACTGCTGATGTGCTGCTGAACGGCCACTAATGCTAATGTACAAATGCAACATCACGGAAACTGGTTCAAAAACAGATGATTAATTGACAAATCAGAAACAAAAGAAAAGCAGGCATTAATTATACCCATATGCAGTTTGACTGGTTTCACTTCAAGCCGTTATTTTAAAATACACCAAACAGTCAAAGATCTACTCAAATTAGTGACTTAAAGCGCGAATAGATTCGTTTTTCTCAGTCTTCCGTGTCTCACACAAAAGAGGTAAATTTAGCGCCAACGCTTTCATTTGGTACTGTTAATTAGTAACACATCATCTTCTTGATAACACCATCAGCATTACGTATATCTGAAACATCATAGAAGTCATGATAATAAGTTTAAGCCTGTGGGGCGCGTAACCGACTAAGTCTGCTTTTGGATATTTTTAATGAATCCTTGCCTGAACACAGTTCTGAATGCTAGTCATCACGGCGTGGCCTTGGCTGAGTAATTTGTCCATGTCTAAAATGCACATAATGATTCGCTGACATTGACGTTTGACGCAGAGAGTGCGTCTCTCTTAAAAATAGTGACAAAACCAATGAATTCTTCTTAAGTACAATCGCCATCAACAAATGCAACGTTCAAACACATCTATTCAGTGCCAGAGAAATCTTCCTTTTCATGAGCAAAATACCATGAAAATGCAGTTAATTTATGCTGACGCTGCTCGTATATTTAGTTTTCTTGCTACTGCTAATGCACCGTCGATACAAATCAACGTTTTGACTCAGATGGCATGGGAAGAACTTTAAATTCTTATATCTCTTCTATTATAAACTGGTGGACGTGTTTAACCTGCTATTTTATCGAGCGTTAACAATGACCGCAACTACGCAAAGCGTAAATACAATTACCAAGATGATTGCACTCTTCACTCCCGTTTAAAGAAATACACATATCACATATCAAATAGAAAGACAAAACAACAATAACAAAACTTATATCATATTCTATGCCTTTACCAACTATGATGATAACTATAAATATGTGCAAATGAAAACCAAATCGCCACGACTAACGTGCAATAGAATATTGAATTCCAAGCCTATAAATAAATAAAGCGCACATGGTTGGACATGAACTACAGATTAGTGTACTCTGGTTTATTAATATACCGTCATTAACTTTATTTCATTATAAATATATAGCCTGGGAACAGATCGACGGGCGTAGCCGGTGGGTAATGCTAGTTTATTATACTTCTTGTATTTTCTTCATTTAGATTGTACTTTGTGAAAATATTCCACTCACCTAGTCAATATTATGGAAAGTTGGAAAGACTATGATTGAGTTGTTAAACTAGTTACATCATAACATCGTATGTATGTGCTAATTTAATCTATTCGTACATATTAGCATAAGTCATAGGCTTTCCTGGCTGATTCAGACGATTCGACCCATTTCATTCTCTAATATTGCAATTGCAGGGAAGAAGGAGCACTTGTAGCCTACGCATTTGTCATAGCATATGGAATAAGAAATGTGCCTTTATCTTTGTGTCTTTCTGAGTATTGCATTAGGATGTGTTTTTTTTTATTTAAAAGTAACGGTTTATCGTTTTATGTATTATCGAAACTGAGAAATTATCTTACAACTTAGACATGTGGTGCTCTGCAGAGAACTTTGGCGGCCACACAATCAAAGATGCTCGAGAAAGACGCTCTCTTTTAACTATGACAACAAACAGGGAATCTTGCAAACGCTTCTTAAAATAGCCTCGACGTGGATCCTGAAGGAAACAGTCATTAAAGGAGACAATTTGGCCAATAGAGAAGCAAAATAGAACCATATTGGGTTACATTAGAACCGATTCGTGTTCATTGCTTTGCTAGGCTATGTTGTTTAATTGTTTTCTAATAATTTTCAAGTCATAAAGTGATACCCCATAAACATGCCCATTATCAGTTTTGATTAGGGTTATCCCCCATTGCAGCCCTAAATAGCCCCATCTGGGCCCTAATGGGAGCGGGTACCGTTTGCACATTGGCGTCATTAGGGGCCAACCCTAATCGTGCCAATATCGGCCCAGAATGGGTAAAACCACTTCCGGATTCATTAGAGATTTCCAGAACCGCGCCGTAATCAAGCCCATACTAGCCCCAATGGTTTAGTAACTGACATTTTTATTGGGGCTCAATTAGGGATAACCCTTATCGTGCCATTATCGGTCCGATGCTGGCCCCAATGGTTTAATATCTGAAATATTTATTAGGGCTCAATTAGGGATAACCCTTATTGTGTCATTATTGGTCCGATGCTGGCCCCAATGGTTTAGTATCTGAAATATTTATTAGGGCTCAATTGGGGATAACCCTTATTGTGCCAATATCATGCCAATGCTGGCCCCAATGGTTTAGTAATTGAAATATTTATTAGGGCTCAATTGGGGATTACCCTTATTGTGCCAATATCATTATTTTTTTGTTTATTGTGCCTTTTTTGTTTGATGCAGCTCATTGGCTTAGTAGAATTGAAGCCATATTGGTACAATCAGTGTGTGATCTATATACATGTAGCTATAAGGTCAACATATTTAAACAATTATGGACATATTACAGTTTTGGAAATGTACTATATAAGACTTGCATGCTCTTGTTCATTCATTCTAAAATTAAACTTACACAAAGTAAGCAAAATTTTAAAAAATATCTTTATTCACAGAATAATAAACCAACACAAAAAAATATAATGACACAAACAAGAAATGAAGAAAGCATTTTCATTCTATCCTTTGCATTCTTTACAGGCTAACTTCAAGGGTGGTGGCAATAATTTCAACATCAGTAAAGCAATCATATTTTGACTTCCATGCAGCAGCTGAAACAAAAAAAAATTAAAAAATTATTTCTCCTGTAACAAAACTACCTTCATAAAGCATCAGAAGACCTACATTCATGTATGTGGACATACTATTTTACAGTGATATTTCCAACCCTTGGGCTAGTATAGGAAATAATGCTAAAAATTAGGCTGCTTCGAAACCCTGTTAAGCAGTTTTAAAAAATGACAGTATTTCAAAATTTGGAGACCAATCCTCTTAAAATACATGTTATGAATTGGTGTCAGCAAATATGGTTATGGTATTTGACTATGCCTAAAAGTGCAATGGCAGACTAGATCTAGCTAAACATCACTTCATTCAATATTATATTTTGTCCAATTTATTTATATTAATTTTATCACAGGCTCTTAATAATACAACTATATTCTATTGTAGTTATAGTTGAATGATAATTTTATAAAAATTTTGGCTGAAAAGTTATTCTACATTTAAAATAACTGATCACAGTGAAACAAACAAAAAAAAAAAAAGCTGAAGATACTGAGCTCACAAGAAGTGTTTCAAAATTAGGATAACATTTAGTTATTTACATTGAATTAATTCCATCTCATTAAAACTTTTTTTCGGGTTGCGAATCTTAAAACTAAATAATTCTTCTTACCTTCTTGATCAGGCTTCCTTGAGTGCATGCATAGATCATTCTTATCTATAAGACACCGGTATCTAAAGAAAAATGTGACGATCTGTGAAAAAAAAAAAAAACTAAAAAATATTGTTTAAAGAATTCAAACAAAATAATATTACAATAGATGCAAAACACAAAATGTTGCTGTAACGATGAGACACTGTATTTTTTCTTTATCAGTATCAACACAAATAAAAAAAACAACCTATTATACATTTTTTTTTATAACTAGAGCACTGACATAGCTTTCTATAATTAGTACAAATAAAAAAATAAAAAAAACTGACAACATTATTTCCTTTGTCAGGGTGATTTACATTTACCTCTTACTTGAAAGCAACTTTGCACTCCTTAGAATAGGGCTGAATTGGGTGTAATGCCTACTTTGGACTTTTCTGTTTACTAAAAAAAAAAATTTAAAGTCAGAACGAGCCATATTTAAAATGAATTTAATTGTTGAGTGCTTTATAAAAAATTATAATTGAAATGGCTGCGCTATAGTCAAATTCATCAGGATCCAGAATAATTCAGATGTATTATGAATAGTCAATAGAATAATAGAATGAATCTTAGATCAAAGTATAGAAAATAGGCTACAATATAGTAATAACTAATAACATGGTTCTCTATCTCTTCTATACAAATTATGTAGTACACACCAGGCTGTCACGTGGCTAAATGTTTGTTTATGATTGGTGAATGAAGTCCATTAGTATTAATAGACCTCTAGACCTTCTAGCTAGATCTACATATATGATAATCTAGATTTGGATCTATACTGTATGGTTTATAGATATCTAGAATTTCTTACACGTATTCATGAATATACACTAAGGCTATCTGGATCTGGTAATGTAGACGATGGACTGTTTGGTGGCCTTGATAGTCTCTTCATGGTCGTCTGGTACATGCTCTGCAACTGCCATCACTTCTATAAGCTCCTTGAGGCGAAGTTTAGACTACCAAGTAAATATCTTCAACTCAAAAGGAACATATAAAAAAAAAAAATAAAAAAAAATGTCAATATAATGTTCTAAAGGCTAATATTATAGGTCAAAAACAGGGACCTCATTCACCAATCGTAAACAAAAAAAAACATTTAGCCATGTGGTGCCCTATCTCTTCTATATAATTTACAATCTCATGTTTAATTCATGATGGTTGTCACGTGACAGTTTTTTCCATTGTTTTCTCAATAAGATCAAGTGACTAAATGTTGTTTGTTTACGATTGGTGAATGAGGTCCATTGTATAAATGTTCATTATAATTTTTTATGCAAATTAATATGAACTTAGATCTCAGTGAAATTTGGTGGGGGTGGGGGAAGGGGGTCACTGATCAGTAATCATAAAGAAAAATTTATTCTTTCTACCTTTTTGAGTAGGCTTCCTCATGAAGAGATATTCAACAGCATCTGTAGTGCATTCATAGACCATTCTTATTGTCAGCTGCCCTTAAAGAAAACTGACATTCTAAAAAAAAAAATACAAACAACATAAAATTACAATTTATAAAGACAAATCCTGAAATGTTTATGGTATGGTATATAAGAAAAAACTGTTGCTATAGCCTAATGATGAGACTATTTTTTCTTTAACAGTGTCCACACAATGAAATTTTAAAAAGCCTAAGCCTTAGCAAAGCCTATAGAATGAATTCTAGATCAAATTGTAGAAAAATGTATAATATAGTAATTAGTATTAATAGACCACTAGATATTTTAGCTAGATCTAAATATGCTAATCTAGATCTATGTCTAGTTTATAGATCTAGAATTTCTAGATCTGTATAGATCTATTTAATTCTATTACCTAGAGTCTTTAATATTTACAAAAAATAAAATCTAACAAGTATTGAGTATTGGTGAATAAAGATCTAACGCTACCTGGACCTGGTTATGTGGTATGCACGATGGACTGTTTGGTCACCTCGATGGTCTCTGCATGGTCGTCTGGTTCATACCCCGCAACTGCCATCACTTCCCTAAGCTCCTTTGAGGTTCAGACTACCAAATCCAAGTAGATATCTTCAACTCTGAAGGAACATTAAAAAAAAAACAATGTCAATATAGGGCTATAGTCTATAGCAGCTATAGGGTTAGCCGTCAATCTATTATAGATATACTATATACATATTTATTAATACCAAAATAAACGTTTGATTTTATTTATTTCTGTAAATTTAAACAATCTAAACTAGACTAGATTTGTCAAGATCTGGAGTGTAGGCCTATTTTTTATAGTACATTAGTCTTTACAAAGTCTATATATTATATCTATATTGACTATATTATCACTATATATCGGTATTATAGATTATAAGTCTATGACTATTACTAGATCTAGAACTAAATGACCTATGATGAAAAAATTAAAGATTCTACATTATTCTATAACTACTAAATTTTCTACTAACAACTAACATCTATTCTAGATTTAGAATCTAGATTATTTATAATATTTTAAATTATTTCTTACTCTTATTAGATCTAAGTCAATCTACTAAGTTTACTAAGTCTAAGTATAACTTGTATTCTAGGTCAATTTTTTTAAACCTCAAAATTTGAATTAGAATATAACTAGAATACTTTCTACATGAGTATAATAATTATTATAATAATATAATATACCAAAGTGGTCCAAAGTCCTAAGTCTTAGTTTACGTGACTAGATAGTGATAGGCATTATACTATCATATAGAGATAGATCTAATATAATAATAATTCTGTCCTAAAAGTTAGTAAAAGCCAGTACATCTAGATTTAGATTTAAAGATCTAGTAAGTCCTTAACTAAATCTAATTCTATGCTGCAGATGCATTTCAAGGTTGATTCTAGATCTAGAATCTATTCTAAATAGTAAATCTAGTCATAACGCATGCATGTTAATCACTTAAGTCGACTAGAATCTAGATCTAGATATAATATATTTTATTAATGGCAGACCCTATTCCCAACCAGTTGTGAATAGGCTTCAACCCTATTCCCAACCGGATGGATGGGTCAAATAAAGTCAAAACCCTATTCACAGTCAACAGGGTCAAATTTGGTCAAAACCTTATTCCCAGTCCACTGTGTTTAGGTCAAATCCTATTCAGTTAAATGTAAATTTTTTTTTTTTGAGTGATTGATTTAAAAGAAGATAATAGAAAATAGCTATAAAATAAAATTTGTTTGATATTGATAAATCTTTACAATTTATTAAACTTCTATTATTTTTTCCCTAATGTAATTAAAGGAACAATGTATACTTTATAGGTTATTTTATTATAGAATTGTTAGGTCATATTTTTGTTAAATCTTTGAGCTGAATATTTGTAATAGCTATAAGATAAATAAAATATATTTATTCACTGTTTTGTTTTCATTTCATTCCTGGTCACATCATCTCTAATTAAATTTTTTTTTTGACTTGGCTTTGACTTAAGCACTCAATTCAACTTTTTTTTTTTAGGCCTATATACTGCTTGTTGATATTTTTTGACATGTGTTTACAATGTTCCCTCTCCCATCTTCATTATAAAACTTAGTGCATTGAGGATGGCAATAATAAAAAAGAGGAACTATCAAAACTAGGCAGAGATAAAAATGTAATTGGGGAGAATGGGGTTTAAAGTTTGTTGCAAAGCAATAGCATGTGTAGACACATAGTAAAATGCTAAGTATATTGTAAAGCTGAGAGTTTTTTCATTTATGTTGATTCTATTCAATATAGGATAGGGGATATCAAAGTTTTTTGTTCTCAAATCGGTGAAATAGGGGAGGCAGGTGGGTAGGATATATCCTACACAGGATTTTATAATCTAAGGCCAAGTTGTGGTACAAGTAGTGGATATCTTTGAGAGATTGTACCGCAGTAAGAATCAATGGATCATGTTCTATACATATGATCATTATCCAACCAATCTTAGCACAATTTCAATAAATAAATATTTCTCTCATTTGATGTCAGTAATATACTTGTATGATTTCTAGGTTTGAAATTTTATAAAATTGAAAACATACACATTACTTTGTAAATTTCCATTTTTCTATGTCATTTATGTTTTTTTATATCAATAAAATATAATGCCCCTCCACCCACCAAAAAAAAAAGTTTGTCGATCAACAGAGACTTTGTTTTTGTTGGGTTTTTTTTTTTGGTCATATGTATGATATACATTTATTAAAGCAATAATAATAGAGAAGAAATGTTATGTTCAACTATTACTGCTAGTTTGATATGTCATACATATTTGGTTTGTTATACACCTTTATGTATAGTAGAAGAGGAGATTTACTGAGAAAAAAATCTTTACTTATTAAGTCTTTGTTAGCATTCTTAGTTAATGTTTATAATTTTAATTTATTATTTATGAATGACCTATAGACTAATTATAATTTATAAACATTTTTTAAACAATTCATATACAGGGCAATGGGACTTTTTTTGTGACTGTGCAATCCGATACGGCATACGATACTGGCACCTTTTTAAATGTGGGGAAAAATTATTTTTCTTGTATTTTAACCTTATCTCATTAACAAAGCTAGAAATCAATGTGTCCTTGCCATGCAGTTTTAAATCTCCTACATAAATAGCACAACACAATCAATAGAGACTTTGGTGTTTGTTTTTTTTTGTCTTATGTATGACACACATTTATTAAAGCAAATAATTATAAGAAATACTATTACAACATTACATTTAATTATCATTGCTAAATTCTTTTCATGCTTTTTTTTAAAAATGTAATGAAAGAACTTTAGATTCTAGATCTAGTCAATCTAGATAAAGTGAACAATACTATATCTAGTTTTACTAGATCTATGTTAAAACTGTAAATCAAATCAGTGACTCTGGACAAAGCATGTATGATTGATTCCTGCCATCTTGTTTGACCTTTAACATAAGAACCACTTCCGGTTGACTGGGAATAAGATGACTTTTAGAATACGTTCATTCTCCTTACAATACAAGATATTAATAGGTGAATGTGTGCTTTGCTGTAATACCAAAAAAATGGGCCTATATTTATATGATAAAGATTGATACGAATCATAGAAATACCTTTGATGTGTTATGGGCTTTCATTTTAGTGACTGAAAAGTTGTCAAATAAAATACATGTCAGTGCAAAATAAATCTGGCTCACAGACCTATGTATACTCTAGATATATCGATGTCGTTTTAGGCTATTTCCGCTTTTAGAATATCTAAAATGGCTCAAGTAGAACTTGCCCCACTGCGTACAATGGGAGATTTTCTCTTTGAGACTGCACGATTTCAGATTCCACAAATTAACGATCCAGAGAAATGGTCTAATAGAGTATTAAACAATCTTCTTTATTATCAGACAAATTATTTCCTTACAGCATTGTTAATATTTCTTGTAATTGGGTAAGTGTAACTAAACTACTTTAACTAGTGTTTCGGACTAACTCTCTCTGCCGCTCTCAGTCGTCAGTCTCAGTACTCTCACTCTCAGACCAGTCGACTCAGTCTCACTTCTCAACAACTCTTACTCTACTACTCTACTCACTCTCAAGTCCCAAGTACTCTCAACAGTCATTTTATTATGATTATGTGTCGTAATCATAGATCTAGACATTCTAGATCTAGTCTAAAAGACTAAATTGTTTTATTGTGTAGTCTAGATTTAGACTAATCTAGATCTAGATTTAAGACCTAAGTTAGTAAGTAAGAGTAAGAGTAGTAAGAAACAGTTAATTAGTGTATAAAGTTGATATGAATATACGACTATAGACTGACTTAGTATTGAGTAGCTCAGTAGATTTAATCACTGAATCTGTCAGTCAGTCAAAGACTCAAATTGGGATTCAAATGTTTATTATCATTTAGATATATTTAGGATTCTATTTAAAAAAATTAATAAACACAAAGTAGACAAGATTCTCAAACCATAGACAAAGTAGATCTAGATAGTTTTATATATCTCTTTTATATATCTTGAAAGTGTAGTCAGTTTATCAGGTGGAACAGATGAAGACATTAAGATACAAATGTATTAATCTAGTGCCTCAGACATTTACACACCTAAAACCAACATATGGAAATCTCCCCACATCTCTAGCAAGACTAAATATGATCATTAACTCTACTGTCAAGGCGGCCCTACTGTATCATTGTAAAACATAGACAACAACTGAAGCAACAACAAAAAAATTACAGACCTTCATCAATATATGTCTAGAGATATCTTGAAAATACACTGGTATGACAAAATAGAAAACACCAAACTGTAGGAGATGGGTGGACAGAGAAATATAGAGGTCCAGATCGTAGAGAGAAAGTGCAGATGAATTGGTCAAACCCATAGAAAAGATACCAACAACAGAGCTAGACAGGCCTTAGAGTGGAGTGGAACTC